ACTCCCCTTCTCAGCGGGGCGCCTTCTGCTCTCCTCCCTGACTTACTTTTGAAATGCCCGTCACAAGATACATGCCCTCTGGCACAGGAGCTACCAGGTTTTAATCAGGCGTTGTCTGATAGCCTGATAGAAGCCCACCGCCCTATGTAAAATAAGCATCCTAGGAGCACCTATCAGCTAAGGCTTTTGCTACTGCCTCCACACTATAAATTCTCTCGTTTCCCCCTAATAAATCAGAGCTGTATCACTGAACTTGTCTGAAGCTGTATCACTGAATCCTGTGTTCTACCGGAGCTGGATCACCGAGACTTGGAGCCGAGCTAAGTCACTGAATAAAGGGGCGGTACCACTGACTGAGCTGAGTTCTGTGTCTTACTGCCTACGATCCAGCCTGGGGCGGGGGGGCTATCCTTCCGTCATCGACTCACGGAAATCCAGCTTCAGCCGTCCGGCACCTCTCCTCATGACCCGGCAGCTGACGGGTCCCGAACTTAGAGAGAGAGTGCATGGGTGAAATTGGGGCAGAACTCGACCGGGCCAGCCCCGGTAGCAGAGACCCACAGAGACGCGGAGAAGCAGGGACCCGCCAGCAACATGGAGCAGACAAGCCGAGGGACCCATGGCTTCCCAGGTGCGCACAGGAGACCCTCGCCACGCTAGCAGCTGGCGCCCCGAGACCCCCGCACACCCATAAACAAAGAACAATTTAGGGGAGGAAGGCTTTTTCACAGTTTCACAGGGTGTTAGTCCATCATGGCAGAGAAGGTACAGCTGATGGCACCTAAGGCTGGCTGGGTAGTCAGGAGGCAGATTAAAAACAGGAATTGGGCCAAGCTATAAGATTCAAAGCCCACCTCCAATGACATACTTCTTGCAGCAAAGCTCTACCTTCTTAAAGTTTCCATAACCTTCCTAAACAGCACCACAAACGGGGACCAAGTGTTCAATTGCATGAACCTGAGGAGGATATTTCATATTCAACCCGCAATACTCCTATAATATTTTGGTCACACAGAAACTGTTAATCATCAATAAATTTGAGAGGGTAAATAAGAGAAAATGTATAAAGGCATCAAGAAGGGATAAATGGGACTGGATCATCTAGACAAGGACCTGAGTTCAAATCCCCAGAAGCTACGTAAAAAGCCAGGCGTGGTTGCATATGTGCATATAACCCCAGCACTGTTGGGGGGCAGGTACAGGATTGCTAAAGGTTGCTGGCTATCGACTTAGTCCAAGTTCAGTGAGAGATTCTGTTTCAAAAGAATAAGGTGGAAAGTGATAGAGCAGGACATCAGTGTCCTCCTCTGGCCTCCATGTACGTACATGGGCATGCATAATTACACACACATGTGCATGCAGACCACACACACACACACACACACACACGCAAAGAAGGGTGTGTTCTCCAGTATCTTTCTTTGTGTTTTAATTTTTTTCTAATTATAAATTTAAATAATAGCTATGTTTAGTAGGTGACTTGCAAATTTCCTGAAAATTTAGTGACATATTCAGGGTGCAAGCCAGCTTATCCTTGCTGGTCACCCTCCTGAGGCTGGGTCACTCTGCTTTAGGCAAGCATCTAGGGCTTACATAGATCCAGGCATCCACGGGCCTCTTTATCTTTATCAGCTGCTTATTGACAATAAGCAGATTATTGTGCAAATTCTTACTTCTCAGCCTTTGGACATTTGGATATGTCTTTCCCACTGGGACTCTGGGTTTGAGTCCATTTACCTCAGCTGGACATGGTTACAATGGTGTCTTTTCTGACCATGAATGTCTGTGAAGATTAATTGATTCCATATTTTGGACTTCACTTTGGATCCAACTTCCCTGTGGAGCCTGGAATATCTCACAGGCAGCACCGTGGAGGACCCTGATGGCAGGCTCCTCCTCAGCCATGGAACAACCGTCTTTCTTGGCTTCCTGCTATGGCTACTGCCAGACAAGTCTTGGTTTCTCAATCTTACCTCTCACTGGTCTCTGGAGCTCCATGGCTCCAAAGCCTCAAAGCCCTTGTAACTTGGCTTCAAACACAACAGAGGCCAATGTCTCAGTCCTGGATTCAGACAGTCAAGTTCAAATGCCATCCCTGAACTCAGCTCAATGTGGGACTCTCAGGTTGAGCCCTGTTGGCCCTCTTGAGATGAGGATATTGCTTGCAGGATTATTACAATTGCTGTATTATTAAACTGCTGGAGTTGCCTTCACAGCATGCCACAGGCTGCATGGCTTCAACATAGAAGCTTATTTTTTCATACTTGTGGAGGCTGAAGTCCAAGATCAAGGTATCCACAGGATTGATTTATCCCGAAGCCTCCCTTCCTGGCTTGCAGACAGCCATGTGTTTGCTGCATTTTCTCATGGCCTTTTCTCTGTGCATGCATTCCTGAAGTCTCCCCCTCTTCTTATAGGGGCACAAGTCAGACTGGGTAAGGACACTCTTCTGATCTAATTTAACTTCATTACCTTGTTAGTGGCCCTTGTTCCAATAGAGTCACACTGGGGGTTAAGGCTCAATATAGGAACTTTCTTTAGGGTAAGGAGGATGGGATGTACAGTTCGGACATAAGGATTATTGGATACTTGAAATATGGTTGGTGTACATATATATGTGTGCCAAGTATGAAACATGCCCTGGAAGTTTAATCATTCACTATTTTTCTTCATTTCACCCCTTTATATCATGTAGAGGAAACAAAACATAAAGCCTCTTATTAAACTCTGTGTGTGTGTGCGTGTGTGTGTGTGTGTGTGTGTGTGTGTGTGTTCAGGCAGACCAGAACACAACTCTGCTGTTTTTTTCCCAGGTGTATCAACCTTCTTTTTTTCTTTCTTTCTTTTTTCTTTTTGAGATAGGGCCTCTTGCTGCATAGGTTAGGCTGGCTGATGGGATCCTCTCATCTCTACCTCCCCAGCCCGGGGATTACAAGCACAGGCCACCACACCTGACATTTAAAAAATAAATATGGTTTTGGGGGATTGAATTTGGTTTCTCATGCTTGAAAGGCATGCATTTTAACAGATGTCTTAGTTTCTTTTCCTATTGTGATAAAATACCCCAACACAAGCAGTTTAAGAGAGAAAAGTTTATTTGACTCACAGTTCTAGGCTACAGTCCATCACGGCAGCGTGATCCAGGTCTACGTCACAGTTCATCATTGTGGTGTGATCATGGTCTAGGTTACAGTTCATCATTGTGGTGTGATCAAGGTCTAGTCCCATCATAATTAGTCCAATTAAGAAAAACCCATGCAGGTGTTCCCACAGGCAACCTTATCTTGTTTATTCTTATATTGTCTATTCTTCATTGAAACTCTCTTCTCAGGTGATTCTACACTGTGCCAAGCACAAAACTAACAATCAAAACTAACCATCATACCAACTGACCTGTCTCCCCAACTCTGAATCTATCTATCTATCTATCTATCTATCTATCTATCTATCTATCTATCTATCTATCTATCTATCTATCTACAATCTGAGTGTTTTAGGTTAAATAAAATATGTTATTGAGTATCTTAAAGCTGTAATGAAATGCTTCTTCTAAAAAAAATTTAAAAATGTTATTGGAGTTGTTTTCCTCTGTTTATCTTTTTTAGTGTGGATATTTAAATCTGAAAGATTACATCATGGTTTATATCTACCTGTTCCAAGGCCCTAAGAGTAGACAGAGCTACATCTCCTACAGCTAGGGGATGTTGCCTTTGGGGTCCTCTCTTCAGCCCTTCCTTAGCCCCATTTCCCTTGTTTCCTTTTCTCTGTACTTCTCATGCCTCTTTGGGCTCAGCCATCAGTTCTGAGCTGGTAGGTGGGACAGGGAACCTTCTAGCTGATGAAGGGTGAAGGAAAGAGGCATCTTGCTGTGCCCCTCCCTGTGGTCTGGCTTGGAGATGAAGTGTTTAAGACATATTGATCTTCTGAGCTGCCCACATTACCTCTCCCAGCACATCTCATATGTGTTTTATGCAAAATCAAGCAGACCAAAAGGTCTCCAGTTCTTACTCTACTTTGAGTTGCTAAGTTCAAAGCTCTATTAAAGTTCCCTCCAACTTCCAGGAAGGAGTTAAGGGGTAAGGAAAAAAGATTTCCTCTAGGGGCTGGGAGATAGCTCAATGGTTAAAGTACCTGCTATGCAGGTGAAAGGCCTCAAGAAACTCACATAAATACCGGTTGGGAGTGGTGCCTACCTGTAATTCCGGCCTTTGAAGATGGAGACAGGGGATCCCCAGTGCAAACTGGGTAGTGATACAAGCCATATCATTGAGCTCTGGGTTTGCCTAAGAGACTCTGCCTCGAAGAATAATGTGGAAGAGTGATCTAAGATGATTTCAAACATCAACCTTGAGCCTCCACATGCACTTATGCACACATGCATGGGTACCCTCCCCTCCACATGTATGCTCATACACGTGCAAACCCCACCCCCATGCAACACATACACATAGAAAAAAGAAAAAAAACTCATCTCGCTGTATAGAGATGGCTAAAATGCAGTCCTGAGCCTCAGTTACTCCTGCCATCAGGGAGTGAAGGAGCGGGGAGCCAGGGGAGAGGAATACTCAAGGCGATGGGGGAGGCAGCTGTTTGCATCAGTTCTGACAACCTCATTTTATCTTCTGGGAAACAGAGGCCTGGGGAGGTAGAATAAGCACCCCAGGGTCAGTCTATCTGGCTCTCTTGTCATCATGTGGGCCTTCAGTAAAAAGGGGAGGGTTCCATGTGGGAATGGTCTTGAGTTGGATTCTGGCCCATGAAGGGTAGGGGGAGCTCTAAGCAGGAGACAGGCTGGAGTAAGGCCGTGGAGGCGGCTAGAGTACAGAGACTCCCTGAGAAGTCAGAGCTTTTCCCTGCTCCTTATAGGGTCATCCACGAGTAAGTCTTCCTTAGGATGTCTAGAGTTGAGGACACCTGGACTCAAGAAAGACCTATCCCCTGCCCCCAACCTGCTGGTCACTGGCAGGAGGGCCACCCTTTACTGAGTGGGGTGCACTTACCAACTCCGTCTAAGGTCCTTTTTGAGGTTCATGATCTCTTTGTCCAGATACCTGATGCTCTTCACTGGCTTGTCTATGGCCTGATGGGAAGATAGGAAATGAGAGAAACAGGAGCATTAATACCATTGTTCCAAATGGATCAGGTGATAGAGGTCTGAGGTGTCTGTGCTAGCTTTCCTTTACTCCAACAGGTACTTGAGATAATCAACTTACAAAGAGTAAAGCTTTATTTTGGCTCGTGGTTTTGGCCCTGTTGCTCTGGGCCTGTGGTAGGGCAGCATATAATGGGGGCAATGTGTGGTAGAGCAAAAACACTTCATGACTGGGAGGAAAGGACCAAGGTCCCACAAGCCACTTCAAAGGCACACCTCCAGCAGAGGTTCCATCTCCCAGTACACTACACTGAGGACCAAACTTTGGGAGACACTGAGCACCTAGCACTTCGGAGGCATTCAGCATCTAAACTGTAGCAATGTCTGTCCAGGTTGGAAGGCGGGTGCAGAGCCCACCTCTACATCAGTAGAGACCAAGTGGCACAGTGGGCATATCAAGGGCTCTGGAGGAAGGTGGACCTGAGTTCTCATCTTCCTCTGCAAGATGATCAGTTGTGTGAACTTGGGCAAGCTATTTCAACTCTCTGGGCCTCAGATTCTTCAGGAGAATGGGAATAATTTCTACCCTGTTGTAAGGATTAACAACTGTCAAATTCTTGACTTGTAGCAAGCATTTAACTGTAAATAGGAGTGACTGGTCAGCATTTTTTAAAAAAGCAAATAAATAAACATTAAAAAGTAATTATTGGGGCTGGCAAGATGGCTCAGTGGGTAAAGGCACTTGCCACTAAGCCTGAACTTGAGGCCTGGCACCCACATGGTGGAAAGAGAGAACTGACTCTTGCATATTATCCTCCGATTTCCACAGGTGTGTCATGGAAGTGTATACCCCCTCCCACACACAAACAGGTAAATAAATATAATTTAAAAGTTGAGTAAAAGAAAGGGACATTGAAAATTATTGTTTGTGTTATCGACACTGATTTTAAGAACCGTATCTGGTCACTGTAAAGGTGCCAGTGACCTTTTCCCCCCTTTATAGTCCCATAGCAGGATTTTAGAAGTGGATTATTCAGACAATTCTTTATGGATTTTTATTTCTCCTTCCTTATTCATCTGTCCTAAATAGACATTGGTAAATCTCACAATCAAAACTTTACAAATCAGAGAATGATGCCAGGTCAATATAAAAAAGATAATTTAATTAACTATAATATAAAAGCCACCTCCTTAGGACCCAGTTTGGGGAAATATTCACCAGAGTATTATCTGGATTCTCATGCTTTGAAATTAATTCCAACAACATAGGTTTTTTTTTAGGTAAAAAGAAATAATGAGAAATGATGGGAAAAAGTACTCTCAGGTAAAGCTGGAAAGAGAACAGACTGTGATGGCCTTTGGGAAAAATAATTCATCCTTGCTTACCAAGTGCATTAGAAGTGGTCATACCCCTAGATCTAACACCTGCAAGTAAGCATCCTGCAGGGGAATATGCCTGATTGGACACCAAGATTCCTCAGTATGATCACTGACTAGAATACTGCTTGTAATAACAAACTGCCTACCTATCTCACTCCAGAATGCTTCTAAACAGCTGAATAACACACAGCAATGAAAAGTGATGTACTTCTAACACAGTGATGGAAGTACTTTTATTGATATAGATATTCTGAGTTCTCTGAATGAGAGGACATGTTAGAAAAGCAATATTAATTTTTTTTGCTTTTATTGATTTAGTTATTTTTATTTATGTGTATGAGTGTTTTGCCTGTATGTATGTAAGTACACATGTGCATGCAATGCCCATGGAGACCAGAAGAGAGTGTTGGATTCCCTGGAACTGGAGTTATGAATGGTTGTTAGCCAATATGTGAATTCTGGGAACCAAACTGGTCCTCTGTAAGAGAGGCCAGGGCTCTTAACCACTGAGCCATCTCTCCAGCCCTGGAAAGTATTATTGATAGCACAATTATGTTTTTTTAAAAAATTATTTATTTAATAACCACATACTTAGAAGAAGCATTTTATTACATCAGCATTGACATATTCAATAACACTTTTCTGAGCTAGGATGCATCTCTTACAAAATTGGCTGTACATTTTTAAGTTTACAGTTGAATTATTACAGTTATACAATATTGTACTCAGTATAAACCCCATAAGACATAAAACTAAATGAGGTTTTAACCTTTAAAAAAAATCTCCATTTCATTATTAAAATCACTTTTTGAAAAATGATCTACATGGAAATACACATTTCAAAGACATGGAAGGCATGACCCCCAAATGTGGTGTTTCTTTATAGAGTGGGACTGTGGTACTTTTTTTTTTCTTTTTCTTAGCTGGTGTGCATGTCATATGATTTTGCATTAAGGGTAAAGTAGTCAAATCGTTAACAAAGAGAAAATCTGTCAAAAAAGGGCAAAACAATGTTTGGCACAACCCTATGGGTATCACTTCACTGAGAAGGGTTTTTGAAGTCAGGGTTTGAGAGAGAGAGTTGGTAGGCTAAGTAGGAGGAGTCAGGCCTGGATGCTCTATTAAATGAGCAAGGTTCACCAGCACCATTTTCCTGATTGTTTCCTTTATTATTTAAACAAGCGTGTGTAGGGGTTGCTGTTAACCGCAACACAAACTTTCTACTTGAAGTGTGTCCCTTTCTTGGGATGGCCAATGTAGGCAGAAGACCAAGAAATCTTCTTGGTTTTATCTATTTATTTTTATTTTATATGTATGTTTTGCTTGCATGTATGTAAGTGCAATGTGCAGTTCCCACAGAGGCCAGAAGGTGTTGAATCCCCTGGAACTGGAGTTACTGTTGTTAGCCACGATGTGAGTGCTGGAAAGAGAATCTGGGTGTCCTCTGCAAGAGCAGCTGGTGCTCTGAACTGTTGAGCCATCTCTCTGACCACCCCCTTCCCCAAGAATTATTTTAACCAGTTCTCTTCCCCCACTCTCATCCCTCAGGAAAGATCAGAAGGGTTGGCCATGGCAAAAAAACAAAAACAAAAAAACTGTTCCAAGGCAAGTTGCCTGTCTTTCTAATCCCTTCCTTTTTGAGTTCCCATTATGTTCTCCTCGAAGCACCAAAATAACATTCCCAACTTACCACATTTGTAAACAAAGGAAAAACAAACACACCTTTTCCTGCCAGATAATTCACATGTACATGTTTAAACCCTGCTGATGTGACACTAGTGCACCTGTGACCTCTTAAGCCTCTCACATGCCGCCTTCCTCACGATGCTATAGTGAGAATGTCTGTGTCACTTTCCACTGCTGTGAATAGAACACAGAGGGAAAGCAACTAAAAAGAGGAAAGATTTATTTGGGCTCATGGTTCCAGAGGTTTTAGTCCGCAGCTGGCTCTGTTGATCTTAGGACTGAAGCAAGTCAGAAAGATCACAGCAGAAGGGCATTGTGGAGGGAAGCTGTTTACCTCATGGCACAAGAGAGAGGGAGTGAGAGAGGGAGGAGAGAGGAGAGGGAGAGAAGCAGAGGCCATGGATGGGACAGGCCCTCCAACATCACACATCAGTGGTCTGATTTCCTTCCTTCCTTCCTTCCTTCCTTCCTTCCTTCCTTCCTTCCTTCCTTCCTTCCTCCCTCCCCCCTCTCTCTTTCTTTCTTTCTTTCTCCCTTTTTTTAGTCTTTTTTGAGACAGGGTCTCCCTGTAGTTCCAGCTGTCCTGGAACTCACTATGTAGACCAGGCTGGCCTTGAATTCACATAGATCTGCCTGCCTTTGCCTCCCGAGTGCTGGGATTAAAGGCATGCACCACCATGCCTGGCCTAGTCTGATTTTTCTAATCAGGTCTCACTTGATAGTTTTATAACCTCTGAACTCATCAGCAGATTGGTCTATTTATGAGGTTGGAACACTCATGATCCAGTTAATTCTCAAAAGGCTCACGTCTGAATATTACATAAGGGGTCAAGCTTTCAATACATGAACTTAGATGGGCATGCTTATGTGTGTACATGTGTACACATTCATGTGTGTGTGGGTGCATGTGTGCTAGTTTGATAAAATAAAAAGTTAAGGGTACCTGACGAACGACACCCAAGGTTGCCTCTGATCTGCACTCTTTATTTGAGATAGGCTTTCTTGTTGGCCTGGAATTTCACCAAGAAGGCTAGGTTGGCTAGCCAGCTGGCTTCCAGGGATCCCCCTGGCTCTGTCTCCATCTTCTGACCACTGGGATTGCAATCTTGTGCCACTGTGCCTGGCTTCCTATATAGGTTCTGGGGGTCAAATGCCAGTCCTCACCCTTGCAAGGTAAGCAATTTACTAAGTCATCACCTCAGTCCCAATACATGAACCTTTTGGGGGGACACTTCATAATCAGACCATAACAATGTCCAACTTTGAAGCATATTTTTTTTCAAGTGTTGCTGAGTGACACTTGCCAGTGTATCAGGGATCTATGTTATCAAGGGAGAATGAGTCTGTGTTGTTGGATTTGGTGTTGAACAATTCACTACTGTGTCATCAACCTGACACAAAAGTCTAGTGGAACCATATGAGTCCACAGCTCCACTACTCTGTCAGCATTTCAGTGGGTCCCCAGGCAACCACCCTTGCAATCTGTTGTTTAATGATTATTATAAACTAGCAATGATAATTGTCTCTGGAAGGGGGAGTCCTGGTTCAAGCATCCACTTTCAAGCATCATTTGATATTAACAAAATTAAAAGTTTATAAAGCATCAAAGATTCGTTTTGTTTTGAGAGAGTCTCATGATATAGCCTAGGCTATCCTTAAACTTAGAATCCTCCTGCCTTAGCCTCTCAAGTGCTGGGATTATAGCTAGAACACCTGGGTTCAGAATTACTCATTACAAGCATTGCAGAGGTCAACATGACACAGGTATGAAAAGCCTCAGAAGTATTGCCATGGTCCACAGAGCAACTCTTAAGTCAAAGAAGGACTGTGAAAATGATGGTGGTCTGTGGTGATCATGAAGCTGGGTGGTAGAGCACTTGTTTAGCAGGTACAAGCCCCTGTGCTTAGCCCTGCACTGCAAA